GACCTAGAATGGGTCAGCACTTATTATTTTCCAGCACCAAGGAGAAGAAGTTAAAGACAACTCTAACTCTACACAAAAAAGACGGTAAAAAACAAGTCATTCTTGCCATAAAACATTGCCAAACCCTCTCTTCCCCTCCAGAGTGAGACCCATTTGTTTACTAAGCCAAATGGCTCAAGAAACGTGGAGTCAGGAAGCGTTGCTGTGTAGTGGCCCAAATCTCATATGTAACATTGGGCTCTAGATGGCCATTTACTTTCATTCTCCAGCAACTCTTATTGCAGCTTTGGGAGACAGTGCAGGATGGGTTTTCAATGGAGAGTTACAGTGAGAGCAAAGTGGAAGTATGCAGGGCCAAGAAGCGGGTTAATTAGCCTTTACGTGAGTGCTATTTGACCATCAGTATGTGTGAGTACCTCTTAATGCTGGTGTTTGTCAGGGGGGTCATTGAACATTGAATAAAGGTTTTTTGGATTTGAAAAGATTTTCACTTTTGTCTGTAGCTTTTATTGTAGTCATGCTGGCAGATGAATACCAATGTGTGTTTTATTAGGACAAAGTTATACCATTTCTGTATTTTCTGTGAAACCACATTAAATGTAATTGAAAGAATGATCAAAAGCTTTGTTGTTGCAAACTGTCAACATCAGCTTTCTTTAAGGATAATATATTTTATCATTCCAAGTTTCATAAACCTGCAAATTCAAATAACAGAATAGTGTTTATGAAACTGAAACAGCCCATCTCCTGCAGAGGCAATTGTATTTTTGACTGTGATTTGCTGGCTTAAAGTATATAATACAATGACTTTAAAAACCTGTATCTCAAAATAAAGCATTCAAATAGAAAATGTCAAAGAATGACAAGAACATTTTCACTGGTGGATATAGAGCAACAGAAACACAACAAAGCCAACTATGATTCACATGATAATGATAAGTGTTTCCCTCTGAATTATAATTATCAGCTATTTCTTACAGCTGAATTCCAGGAGATATATAAAATACAAATTAAAAAATAGTGAAATGTAGTTTTACATAGAATCAGCAGTACAGTCAGCCCCCGAGTTACAAACATCCGAGTTACGTATGACTCATACTTACATATAGTGATGGACCGAACACCCCCTGTTCGGTACGAATTCGAACTTTAACAATAAATATGAGAATAATGTGGTATGCAATGATTATATATATTACAATAAAAAGGTATGTATATGTAGACAGATGGGTTAGACTCAGGGCCAGAAGTGCGTGGTTTAATGTCTGGGCCCCCAAAGTGACAGAATGCTAGCACCCAGTCACAGCTGCAACTATGTGACCCTGTAGTTCTGCCACTGTATAGAGGACTATAAAACCCAACAATATATTATACAGCAATGCAGAATACCACCAGCTATACAACACTACAAATCCAAGCAATACATTATACAGCAATGCAGAGTACCACCGTCAGCTATAGAGCACTACAAATCCCAGTAATACATTCACAGCAATGCAGAATACCACCAGCTATAGAGGACTACAAATCCAGCAAATCATTATACAGCAATGCAAAATGGTACCAGCTATAGAGGACTACAAATCCCAGCAATACACTATACAACAATACAAAATAATACCATTTGTTATAGAGCACTACAAATCCCAGCAACACATTATACAGCAATGCAGAATACCATTATCTATAGATGACTGGTGCTGGGTCCCATATCCTGGTCCTCGGTGCCATGGAGCTCTGGGCCAGTCCCTGGGCACACTAGTAGCACACGGGCCCGCACCTGCTCCTCATTAATGGGCTGTTCCTAGGAATTCATGAAAATCTCTCCACATCCCCCTGCCAACTCTCATGACCTCCTATGCCAGCTATGGGGTACAGAGCTCACCTGACCTCTAATCCTAGCTATAGGGTACAGACCACACCTGACTTCTCATCCCAGTCTTGGGTACAGAGCTCACTTGAGTGTTTACCATTTGTTTTTTTATTTGTTACACAAACACAGCAAGGCAATCTACTTTCTTCCTCTCTGCTCCCCTCTCCCTCTTTCCTTCTACAAGCTAGTAAATGGTCAGCTGCTGGAGACTGCTCTGTCCCCTGTGATCTTATACTGCACAGGAATTTTTACAGGAGCTGACCTGAGAGAGTTGGAGCCAACTGTTTGGAAACATGATGAGAGTAAAGGTGGCCATACACTGTACAACCATCGCAAGACCTTAGTCTTGCGATGGTTGTAAAGTGATTAAAAAAACATACGATCTGCTCATCTTGGACAGGCAGATCGCACTCTCGATCATCGCAAGCCCGCCCCCCTGGGGGGCGGGCTTCTGATGACTGCAAAGCTGAACGGGCAGTGTGCGCGTGCGCACACCGGCCCGTTCGGCATTTGTCTCCCGAGCACCGTTCAAACCAGCCGAAAATCGTACGATTCTCGGCTGGTTTTCTAACATGCTCCTTAGACAAAAGACGTGCGACCGTACAGTAGAAACGGTCGCACGTCTTCGTTCACACTGTTCGATTCGTTCACACTGTTCGATTCTCGTATGATCGCGGGATTTCCCGCGATTCTCGTACGAGAATCGAGCAGTGTATGGGCACCTTTAAGGTGGCCATACTGCTTACAACCATTGTACAACTTTTATTGTCCAGACATCTCACCCTCATTCAATTTTCTTACAACTAGCCCATCATGCACAAACCAATGTCGTTTACAATTAACACTTGTCAGCACACCCCGGCTGATTTTCATTGATCAAAAGGACAGATTTTCGTTTGAGCATGTGCAGTTTGCATCTTGAGATTTTTGTTGTACAGCAACGCCACTAACCTGTCAATTTTTATCCAACTAGACAAAGTTTTCTAGCCTGCTTGAAAGACACAAATCTGCCACTTGTACAGTAATTAAGCTTGTGCACTCCCCATCAACTGGCAGTTTTTCTGTCGAAAACGCAATCGCAGACAAAAATCTCCAGATAATTGTAAGGTGTATGGGCACATTAACAGGGTTATTCACAAAAGGGTGAAGGGTTTGGAGAAGGCAGGAGAAGTGAACAATCTAGGCCAACTGGAAAGTGAACTGAATTGGAGAATTTCTCCAAATCAGCTACTTTGGCCTAGATTGTTCACTTCTCCTACCTTCTCCAAACTCTTCACCCTTTGTGAATAACCCTGTAAGTGTTACTTTGCAATGTATATTTTTTTTTAATCTGAATTCATTATTTAAAAAAAGATTGAGCATTTACTAGTACTTTAAGGATGAATTGCTCCATAGTTTCTGGTCAGGAAGGCATTACACATGTATGGATGTAATTGACTATACTTGCAGTAATGTGAAAAAAGGTATGTACACTCTATGGAATTTGCTGACTTTTGCAACATACAGTAGGTAAACAGGCATTAGCTCTTCATTCAAATAGTGCCTCAAGATAAAAGTGGTATACAGTACTTACATAAAAACACCAGGACAATTTCAATTATTTATTCAACAACAAAATCAATAGATGTAATGTGTACTGTGAAAAAAGTACACACACCTTCAGAGCTGGTATTGCTACTTTTAGGAGAGATGACTTCTTGTAGGCACTTTGCATTACTGCCAACCAGTCTCTGACATTGTAATAATTTTAACCACTCCTCCATGAACAATTCCGTCAGTTGCCAGATATTTGTGAATTTCCTTGCATTAACTGCACTTTTCAAATCCCCCACAATATTTTAATAGGATATACATCACCATTTCTTCATTTTCAGCCATTCCTTGGTGGATTTTCTGGTGTGCTTCAGGTCATTATCATGTTGAAAGATCCATTTCTGATTCACCTTCAACTTTCGGACACATGGTCTTATAAAGCAAGCTTTCATATTATATGACTGCAAGCTGCCCAGAACCTAGAGCAGCAAAGCAACCCCGAATACTAACATTTCTACCACCTTGTTTAACAGTCAGTATGAGGTTATTCTCTTGAAATGCTGTCTTCGATTTCTGCCAAACATGTCTACTGCGCACACTGGCGCCAACTATTGCAAGAATTACCTGCAGATCCTGGGATAAAATGTCAGCGTTCCTGGGAACACCTTAAAACTGTAATGGATGTGGTTAAGCATGATTATGACAAAATGCCTATTTCAATAGATCAATTGTAATATATATGTTAATTTGCTTTTTGCTCGTTTGCCTTCCTCAAAACCTTGCTCAGAAATTGGTGCTAAGCACACGCTCAAATATACACGTTCACCTGTTAAAAAAAAACCCTGAAAAGGAGAACAATAAAGCAGAAGTGATTTTAACACCGACGTGTTGGCGTGATTTCATTTTATCTCCGAGAGTATACTCTATTGAATCAGGCCAGGCGGCAGATATAAGTACGGAACTTTTGATCCGATCTAAATTTGGAACCCAGTCCAAAACAAAACATCAAATGATCAGCTCTTGGGCTGAATTTGCTGGGCCAGAGTTGGCCAAATTAGCAGTCATTTGAAATCAATGTCATGTAAAGATTATTTTACTTATAGTAGAATAATTTTAAATAATTCCAGTGTAAATGTAGGGGTGTATGTACTTTTTCCATGTGACAAATCTGCTTTTGTTTTTTTAAATGTAGATTATGAGAATTAATACACGCTTTCAAGTATATTACCTTTAGTTACTGTTTAAAGATATGTACTTACTTTTTCACATGACTGTATATAACATAAGTAGGGACAGCCCTGTCTAGTCTCAACATACAGCATAGTGCAGGCATGTGTTCTGATGTTTCTGCAGCCTGATCTTACAATATCAGCAGCATCACTTATCTACAATATCACTCATACACAACAATAAAAAAATAAACAACTTTAATAGTTGCTTTTGAAAGAAATGAAACATTAGAAACAATTACAATTTAAAATATTTAGAGTAAAGGAAGAGGAACAATACACCAACAGAGAAAATAACTTTACTATTAAAAGAAGGTCATTGTTTAAGAAGTTAATTGTTCCTGAAATAAAACCATTGCAAACACTCCCTTTAACATCCCACAGTAAGATAAAGTCCAGAACTAATTATGCAATCAAGTTCTTCTATATCACAGCCCAGTCAGCTTTTGAACAAGAGTCTGATATGTCTCTCTTTCAAGTTCCCAGGAATGGTTAGTGCAGACATATTGTTTGGCATTATAAATAATTTTCCTTTTAAGATCTGGTTCCTTCATCAGTCTTCTGGACAGCTGGACAAATTCCTAAAAGAGAATATAGAAGATCAGCTAAAAGTATAACGGAAAGCACAAATCCTTCACATTACATAATCTCTGAATAGAGAATACAAAACCCGGATGTTCTATATAAAGGGTGACAAATATTCACTAAGTACTATGTGAGATACACATAATCCCTTTTTGGGAACCTTTAGTATTTATTCTAGACTACGGGGCAAATTTACCAAAGATAAATAGGCTGTTCTCTTTGTAAGGGAAGTTCCGCTTAGCTTAGTGAACGTGGTGAAAATAAATTTAAAAAAAATACCTAATCACATGCAAGGAACTGAATAAATTTTTTTTTTCCTCATTCACTAAACTAAGTGAAAATTCCTTTGCAAATTGAATGGCCTATTTGCCTCATGTATATCAACCCATATATATGACATTTGGGAAAAGGGTCAGTTCAACCAAGGTGAGATTTCCAAGTAGTTCATTGGCTTTTAAACTCTACGGGACTGCATTTGTAAGCTTTTCATGCTATATTTCTTGGCTCTGTTTTCACCCACCTTGGGATGTTAACCACTTTCCTGGTTGAAGAATGCATAATATACTGTAAAATAATTTAAAGATCCGACAGCAACAATAGAACCCCACATTATTGCTGTAGTGGGGGTGCAAACCTAAATCAGAATAAAATCCAGCTTTCAGGACTTAATTTATATTTCCCGTAAACTTACTTACCATATGCAAAACCTTTACCACCAAAATTCAGTTTAATAGTGCTCAGCCAGAGATTTTGTCATAATGTAGCATTTAACAAATCATAAAATAGCAACTTCAGGTAAACAGAAACAACATAAAGTATATATATTTATTTAGTTAGTTGCTTATATGACTATAGCTGCAGTGCTAATTTCGTCGACTAATAATTTTCAGTGACTAAAACTGAATAAAAACCAAGGGGGTTATTCACTTAGCTGCCCGAGGCAGCCGAGTGAATAAAAGAGCCGAAGTGAAGTGGGGGGGAAAGGGGAAAAGGACTTCGACTCAGCCGATCCAACATATGGATGAGCTGAGCCGAAGCTCCAGCAGATCGCTCGCAGCCGTTCGCCCCTATTCTCATTCTGTAACTGAATAGCCGAATGCTGCCGAGCGGCATTCAGCTTGGCTATTTCGCTGGGTACCTCCGGGGTAGCGAGTAGAACAGCAAAACAGTTAAATAAATGAAAAAAAGTTGAAAAATTATTTTCAAAATTTAAAAAAATAGTAACATTTAAAAAATACAAATATTTTAAAGAAAAATAATTTTAAAAAACCTGACGCACGCTGACCTGACCACACGCGACAAACTCCTGCCGCATAATGAAGCATCTGACAGATGCTGGCAAAATAAAAACAATTGGGCGGAGCTAGTGGTGACAGCTAGCTCCACCCAACTGTTTCAGATTGGCCAGCACCTGCCACATCAGCGTCCCCAGGTGTTTTGGGGTCGCTGATCTCTCATTGCCCAGCCGTCATTTGCATCCCAGCTCTGCCCAGCCGTCATTTGCATGGAGAATGGCCGAACCCCTCAGCCGACCTTTCTCCATGGTTCGGCTGTCACTTTGGCTCAGTCGAAGTGAGCCAAAGGATCAGCCAAAGCTACGGCTGGATCCTTTGGTTCTTTACTGAATAACCCCCTAGGTTATGATGGCTAAAACTATAACGAAAATATTGACATTTTAGTCGACTAACTGAATCTGGACTAAAATGTTAGGGAGAGACAATTTGGGAAGAGATCCAAACAGAACTAATCTATTTTGACTTCTAGTTCCATCCTGAATGGACGGCTAATAGGTAATATGTGAAATGGCAATACAGCCAATATAGGTTTTCATTTTAATATTTTAGAGTTCCACTTCTGCTTGATGCAATGAAGAAGGTTGTATGTAACTTGTTATAATCAACGCATATCTAATTACTGGTCCTTTGTTGAGAATACTCAGTATTATTGTTTGTTTATAAGATTTGGTTTAATTTCTTGAATTGTATTGTAATGTCTTCCTTACATTGTAAAGCGCTGCGCAAACTGTTGGCGCTATATAAATACTATGTAATAATAATAATAATAAATAAAAACATGTTATATATCACAACAGTTAAATCTGTGTCTGTATTGCATGTTCAAACCTTAATATCATATGTAATAACAGGTTAACAGATGTTTACCACCCTGGGAGTATATAATGAGATTGGAAATTCTAAAATTAACCTTTACCTAAACCCACTAGATTTTAGTAGACTAAATCCCCTGTAAAACAATTCAGATGACTAAAACTAAACCAAACGGCATTTTAGTCAAAAGACTAGGACTAAAACTAAATTGAAAGTTGCTGTCAAAATTAACACTGTATAGCTGTAATGTATGCTTTCATTTTACATTTTTCTAAGTTAAAGTACAACTGAAGTCAAAACTTTTCTTTTAGTTTTGGATAGAGTGGAGAGGGATTAGAACACCTGTCAGGTTTTGCTGTGTCCCCCATGGAGATCCACCCTCTTTACTTGTCCTAGATACCGTTAGTACTGAAAGTTAAAGAAATTCCCAAATTTTGGGTTATCATCAGAACAGGAATAGGGAGAAATTGGAAAATCTTCCAATTGGGACAGTAGTTCTGGTGACCCTGCTGACTACTAGGTATTTCCCTCTCTTCAGAAGGATTTCCTCTCACTTTCTGTTGTGGCTATTGGACAGAAAGCATAAGGAAATATATACATACACACAAAATAATGAACATAATGTTCAAGATGTGTTTTCTTAATAGCTTGTTCACTTCTCCATTATCCAAAAATGCAGAGTTCCTCAAAGTCTGTCCATATCCTTTGTCTGCCCTAGAGAAACAGCAATTATGTGGGAGGACTCAATAAATAGAGGGGTCAGAACTGTGCAGAAACTTGAGTTTTACTTTATTAGTAATGAGATAAAACTTGCATCTGCTTCTGGCAGTCAGAGAGGTTGGACAGAAGGTGTGTGCAGTACCCAAGGGGATATTATAACACTGCCTTGAACACCCCCTATAACACATTTCCCAGCTAGCAGCTGCATCGCAATGGGAAATAAAACTGAAGTAAATTGTCTTCAATAGATTACTGCATAATAGCCATGACTATTATTGCAGAAAAGTACTTGGTTTTATTGTCAGAATGGCATACAAACAAGCTTACCTTCTCTCACTATGGTTCTATGAAATGCAATGTAATAATGGATAACATTCTTTTTTTTTGTTTCTTTTTGTTTCGAGCTGTCCTTTTCTAGTAATATTTACCTTTAAAGGGTAAATGCAGCAATTGAATGTTTTCCTGCATTTTAAAACATGCCAGCGTTTGCATTATACAACCAATTTGAAACAAGGACATTAAAAGGTTTCCATTAGAAATATGCAAATCCAGCAAAAACTCTTTTATTTGTAAACATACTGGGAAAAGGGTCAGATTTTTACTTGCACATTCTGTCAGAACAGGAAGTGGTAGAAACATTTCAATACACCAAACAAAACATTCTAGCAGTAAATGGGGAAGGAATAAAACCTCTATCAGTTTGTTATGATCTATATCTTATTTCAGGTAATGCTTTCATTATATGCCCTTCCCTAACAGACACAAAAACTCACAAATAAATGCAGTTTTTGCATTCAATCAAAAATAAAAAATGTATTTTTAACTGTTGCAATTAGTTATATTTTCGTTCTTGGCTTATGCAATTCCCTATACAGCAGCACTTATACTGGGAAAGAGATAACCAGAATGATGAGCCAATAAGGTGTTGCTGCAGTGCAGGGAGGTGTGTGATTGGCCCAAATTTATTCCGCAGCAGGGCAAGGACCCCAAACATACAGCTAATATCATTAAGAATTATCTTCAGTGTAAAGAAGAACAAGGAGTCCTGGAAGTGATGGTTTGCCCCCCAAAGAGCCCTGATCTCAACATCATCAAGTCTGTCTGAGATTAAATATGGAGACAGAAGAGGCAGCCTACATCTACAGGAGATCTATGGTCAGTTCCCAAAGATGTTTGAAACAACCTACTTGCTGAGTTCCTTTAAACAATGTGTGCAAGTGTACCTAAAATAATTGATGCTGTTTTGAAGACAAACGGGATTCACACCAAATATTGATTTGATTTGAATGTCTCTTCTGTTCATTCACTTTCCATTTTGTTAATTGATAAAAAAAAAAAACTTAACACTTTTATCTCTGAAAGCATTCTTACTTTACACCTGCCTAAAACCTTTCCACAGTACTGTACATATTTATTTAAAATATTAATAGTTTATTATATACTGTATTAATTCAGAGCTTCATTGTGTCCTTTATATCTGCCTGGAGCTTAGCTAAAACGGACAACTACATGATGTCATGTTTCTGAAGGGAAGGGAAAACAAGCTACAGAGAAAACCTTGATTAAAAAGAATTGCTATCACTTTCTCGTCGAATCTCCCCACCCTCTCATCTTTCTTCCTATACTGCTACACCTGCTCTACCAAACTCTTCCATAAGTTAATAACCTAGCTCTGAAATGGTAACATGAATATGAAAGTCAGATAACTACACTTGAGCACGAAAATATTTATAAAACAAAAACCAAAAAAAAAGCAGTGTCTTTCTTTGTCATGCCTTTTCAGATACATTTCTGTCATTTCTTAACCAGTTATTGTGAACAGAAATATATCATAGTAGTGGTAAGAAAAAACTAAAAAAGGTGGCTTCCTATTAAGCATTCCTTTTTTAACATGCAGTGGTTAAAGATTGTGAACTGCTGATCACGCAGTTCACAATCTACTCCCTGCTGAGAGCGGTGACTGTCAGTGACTGCATGGTCCGATAGCCCGCTATATGCTGAGTTTTGGGTTACAGGAGGACATAGTAAATGTCCTCCTGTGACCCTGTAAAGAGAACTATGGCCAAAAAAGGTTGGGCCATAGTTCTCTTTTAAAGGAGAACTATGGGGTCAGTGTTTTTCCCCATAGTTCTCCTTAGGGTAACGGGAGAACACAAACTAGCGTCCTC